TAATTCGTCTTTAAAAACAACAAAAAAAACAACAAAAAAAACTCTTTATATGAGATTGTTTTGAAAAACGATTGCAGTTTGCACAACGCAAGAGAGAAGTAAATCTGAAGCCAGGCCAAACGCCGTTGTATGCGGAGGCCCGACGGGCGCCGCTGGGCTGTTGGTGAAGGGGCTTTTCCTCATCACATAAATATAAAAATTTATAGTATGCATCTTTCGATCATATTGATTAAAAAACCCCAAGTAAATGAGTCAAAGTTCACACCATCAAACCGTAAAGTCACGAGTTACGGGTATGGTTTCAGGTTTGCCGTCTGGGCTGCTTGAGGTAAGAAGGGGGTGACTTCAGGCTTCAGGGGAAGATATCGAAATATTTTTTTTTTAAAAACACGTCGGAATAAAGGTTCAAGAATGGGGGTTTCTTTTACAAAATAACAGACGAAAGTATTTAGAATTGCTTTTCTCATACTGTGTGCAACAGAGAACGATAAACCAAGACATCAAAGCTCTCCTCATAATGTTTGCAACTTAGCATCATCATACATATGAAGTTTTTCAAATTCCTCAGTTGTGTTCTTCAATCGGAACAAGTTACTAAGGAAATCGTATAAAAGTGTTGTTCCCAACACCAGTAGGTGCAAATCAAACACTGTTACCAAACCATGAAAAATTCCTGTATTCTATTGGCAATTTTATCATTCGCCAACGGCAAGGTAATATCTGGGCGTGGCACTGGATCCTCCGCACCTTCTATATGTAATCGCGCCTGGTCTAACAGTGGTGCAGCCAAGAGCACCGATTGTAATGGTGCTGAATGGATCTTCTCGTCGTCAAGCGACAATAGCGATGTAGTGACTGCGGGACTCGCAGATTCGTCCATTACTTCTATGGTATACTTATCTGTAGGCACCGTGAATACCGACGATCCCGCAGACCCCAGATTAAATGATTATGTTTGGCAAGAGAATGAAGACTTGAATGGAGACGGGGAGACCTGGGGAGACTATTGGTTCGACCCTGATGACTTGGTCCCCAATATTTTGCCCATAATGAAGGATATCATGGACAACTACAAGGTGAGAGGTTTCAATGCAATCAGCACAGACAATGCAAAGCCATCAACTGCGGTATCGGATAACGATGCAATTGCTGCCAGGGCTCGTGAAGAACAAACAATCGATGATCGCTACGTCGATTACATGAACGGAATTGTAGATTATGCACATTCTATTGGCTTAAAGGTGGCTTTGAAGAATCCATCATACTATACTCAAGAGAGCACTTTGATAAACAAGTTCGATGCATTTATCGTTGAGTCTATGTTTAATTGGTATCCAACCGATGTCAACAACTACAACAGTGACCCTGATCTACTTACGGGCTCCGCACCTTTCTGGGTCTTTCAGTATGAGGATGTCAACGGCGTGAGTAACTCAGAACTTCGAGAGCGTATGGTGGAGCAGGGCGTGGATATGACCTATATGGATACCACTGACGGCTGGGTAAAATTCTATGCCACAGAGTAGTGAGAGAGCACCACCACGGTTAACTAATTGTAATCTACGTGCATAGGTATATAGTGTGGGACACATACTTGAACGGCTACTATGTGTCCTTGCCCTTTGAACTGATTGGAGAAGTTCCCATCAGAGACACAACAGACTTGGAAACAACCATAGTATAACATATGCTGATCGTTTTACAACAAAAAACAAAAACGAATCTTTTTATATATTTCGTATTGCAAACTGCTACCAAACCTTATCACCACAAGGGATAGGGTTTACAGTTTACACATTTTTTATTTCGTACGGCATGCGGCTACGTACCTACGTACTACTGTAGGATGCGGAGTTGACAGCATTTCAGATTTATTTCAATAAAACTACTTCATACATTTTCAAAATACCTAGTGCAATCGACCCAGTTTTCTATAATATGTTTGCGGTAGTACATGCCTATAGAGGAAGCGTCGCCATCAACAACAGAACGTTTCGCGATATACGAACACACCTGACGATTGGATAAATCCTGTATTAAACAAGTCCAACAAACCAATACCACGGTGTACTGGGCTGAGATCTCAAGAGTTGCTTTTATGTACAGAATGAGCATCATGTACCCCACATACCAGAGAATAAAAACATAGAGAAATGGTATTAAGAGGAATCGAAGCCACCGAATTTCAGCACAACACTCTCAGAAAGTAGACAACATTGCAGCGGCGGTACACACAGCTTAAACAGGATTCTCCGAGCCCATAAATTCAAACTATAGGTTCAGCAGTAGTAGGACTATAAGCTCTACGTATGTATCCCATACTATGAGAGCTTGTGCTCACCGATATCGGTCCTGACCTTCAGGTGCCGATTGTTAAGATAGTTTGCTGCTTACAGCCGTAGAAGTTAAAACTAAATTGAACAAGTTATCAAATTCTTCTTGGCGAAACTGAATCTCGATTCCCTGGTTCAATCTCTTCGCAGAAGAATTAGCATATACATGTATCCTTCGTAGCTGTTGTGTGCTTCAGATCAAATCAGGGCTCATTCTCCCGCGGGCGAGCTACGAGATGCGTAAGTATTGTTACATGCACACCTGAGGCGTTCCTCTCTTCTGCGTACTTGTGGCGCTTTATTATTATGATGTTATTACAAAGCAACGAGTTACGAAGTACCGCTGCTTCGAGCCTCACTCCGCAACTCCCTCGGTTCGAGTATCTGAGATTTTTCGTAAAGCTCATCCGGTGTGCACACAGTCGTTTCCATCAATTGCTTCTGAAAGGGCAGATCGTCATCGAAAGCGTACTGTATCGCACCCCTCTGGTATACCTCCTGTGAGGTTATGTAGTGACTGTGTTAGTGAACTCAGATATGAATTATAGCGTAGTGGTTAGTGACCTCCTGTGAGGTTATGTAGTGACTGTGTTAGTGAACTTAGACATGAATTATAGCGTAGTGGTTAGTGACCTCCTGTGAGGTTATGTAGTGACTGTGTAAATGAACTTAGAGATGAATTATAGCGTAGTGGTTAGTGACCTCCTGTGAGGTTATGTAGTGACTGTGTTAGTGAACTTAGATATGAATTATAGCGTAGTGGTGTGCAATGGAATTTGTATTCACCTGTCCACGTGTACAGTGCATCGGGTTCGATTGTATCGCACTTTGCTGGCTTATTAGAATCGGAATTTTACGCTTTGGGCAAATTGGCTTGAAGCTGAACTGAAGAGGGAGCACACAGAGACGATGCACGTGTGTACATGAATGCGAGTAGTATGAACGGCAGATCAACCAATAAACGGCGATGACTCAAATGCATAGAACAGGATAGGAATAAAAATAGTCAAATATAAATAAACCTGGTTTAATAGTGTACATATGTGCTGTACCATCAGACCTCACTTTATATATCCATACGCGAATGCATGGAACAGGGTTAAACAATGAAACGGTCGAACATAATCTTGGTTAGTGTGCACGTGCACTGTATCATCGCACCTCACTGTATAACATCCCTACGCATACGAACGACGTCTGCAATGCCACAGCTCTCTGCGCGCGAAGTACGATTCTCGAAGCCACTCCAACCAGCAATAAACAACAGAAGGGGGTTGCAAGCCAATACCACCTGAACTGCACAGGCCAGACACATACCATTGTGTCCAAATGGGACTTAATAGCACGCAGCTTGAACAGGTTCACCAGTCCATCAGACGTTTGCTTGGGCATTTCATTGAGGAATGTGTGGTCTTTTAAGACTATCCCCATGACTGGTATCACAGGGACCCGGGACTCTCCGAGCTCCTGTCTGTAGACCCGAAAGTTCTGCGCCGGGGATAGCAGCACTTCAAAGTCTCGCAGATTCGCTTGCGCTCTGTTTGATACCATCTGATACACACACACACACACACACACACACACACATATATAAATAAAGTGTTATCGATTTTAGAGAGTGATAGAGGTGGACTGTCGCAATATGACCCATGTAACATAACATAGTCAAATCCTGGTACACCAATTATCTATGGACTAATGCAGATCAAGGCACTGCCTGTTCAGCGTACTTTGATACTGACAGCGAACTCACGCGTGAAGCTATAGCTATCCGTGCGATCTGAGAAAGCAAACAGGCATAACCAGGTGCACACTCTAACATATTCTGAGACATAAGTGTGTACTATACCCCCAGCACTACAAGGTTGACTTCCAATGGGATAAGAAAGGCCCATGCTGTCCTCAGTAGGATACCTTGTACTCGTCGGTCTGTTTGCATCAACCGACGCTAATCATTTGTGATCGCCTACAAATTGCGTATGTACATTTACTAAATTGTCTCTGTGACTCGTAAACTGTCGTATAGACATTGGAACCACAACAATAGACAACGCACAGAGCATTCTAGCGCTGCTGTCATATAAAACCAAATGAGATCCTCGACAGACACACTACAAACACACTCATACACTCCACAAGGTTTTAGTACATGTGCAGAATAGTAGACCCTAAAACCCTACAGAACAGTCTTCTACATACTTGTATAGTTTAAACGAGCCTTACACACAGATGCAGTATTTTACATACTTGTATAGTGTTAAATAAATATACAGACTTGTGCGTAGAATGTGCAGTACGGAATACAAACTGTGCGTGCGCAACACCGCCACAAACACACAAATGCTATACGACCTAAAACCACAGACACGCGAACCCAGTGAACCCATACACACACACATGCACTCATCACAGCGACCTAAAACCACAGACACGCGAACCCAGTGAACCCATACTTACACACACACATGCACTCATCACAGCTACATACACCCATCACATACTACATCACAGCTACATACTCTCATACATACATACATACTTACACACATACATACATATTCATACATACATGCATACATACACACATACACCGATACATACATACATACACACATACTCTCATACATACATACATACACTCATACATTCATCACAGCCACATACAATCACCACACATACTCACATACACCCATACATATATACACACATACACACAAACATATGTACCTACATACAGACATACACTTATCCACAACCACATGCACCCACCACACATACTCACATACACCCATACATACATGCACACATACACTCATACCTACTTACCTACATACACACATACAACCATCAAAGCCACATGCACCCACCACACATACTCACATACACCCATACATACATGCACACATACACTCATACCTACATACCTACGTACACAAATACAACCATCACAGCCACATACACTCACCACAAATACTCACATACCCCGATACATACATACACACATACACTCATACCTACATACCTACATACACACATACAACCATCACAGCCACATACACTCACCACACATACTCACATACACATATACATACATGCACACATCCACTCATACCTACATACCTACATACACACAAACAACCATCGTAGCCACATACACTCACCACACATACTCACATACACCCATACATACAAGCACACATACACTCATACCTACATACCTACATACCTACATACACACATACAACCATCACAGCCACATACACCCACCACACATACTACATCACAGCTCCATACATACACACATACACTCATACATACATACATACACACATACACTCATACGTACATACAAACACACATACACTCATCACAGCCACCTACACTCACCACACATACTCACATACACGCATACATACATACACACATACACGCATACATACATACCTACATACACACATACACTTTTCCACAACCACACACACCCACCGTACACACACACACGCATAGTCTCATGCATACCCTCCACGTATGCTTCAACCGATTCACAGCCCCGTGATTGAGACCAGACGTAATGCCGTACAAGGTGTTGTAGCAGTTGTGTTTGCGCAACACCTTCGTCACATTAATGAAATGCTCAATCAGAGCGATTCTGTCTTTGATGTCCACGCACTCGCAGATGGCACTCGACACAAGCAATCCCACCTGTACGCAAAAGGTGGTGCATATGGATACATAGGTGTGTCTTTATGTATGTGCGAAATGTTGTATACGTATGTCTTTATGTATGTGTGAAATGTTATATACGTATGTCTTTATATATGTGCGAAATGTTATACACGTATGTCTTTTATGTATGCGTGAAATGTTATATACGTATGTCTTTATGTATGTGTGAAATGTTATATACGTATGTCTTTATATATGTGTGAAATGTTATATACGTATGTCTTTATGTATGTGCGAAATGTTATATACGTATGTCTTTATGTATGTGTGAAATATTATATACGTATGTCTTTATGTATGTGCGAAATGTTATATACGTATGTCTTTATATATGTGTGAAATGTTATATACGTATGTCTTTATGTATGTGCGAAACGTTATATACGTATGTCTTTATGTATGTGCTAAATGTTATATAGGTACTTCTTTATGTATGCAAGCAGAGAACAAAAAAATATGTACGGGTCTGTTTATATATGTGGACAAAAGTAATCCCACATGTCTACACACAAGCAATAGTACACAGCTACATACGCCTGTCTTTGTGTCTTTGTCTGAACAAACATGTATGCGCCCGTGTACGTATACAGTTGCATGCTGACGGGCTTGTGTGGAGAGAATGAACACACATGAATGTGTTTATTTATATATGCACGTATCGATAGCGAGCGACTGTAGCACGTGTGCGAGTGTGTGTGTATGTCATTATCAGCGCTGCTGTGGTTGGGTGTAGTCCATTTTGTATATAGAGACGGTAGTAACAAAAGGCGTAGGGTGTGTGTACCAAATATTTAATTCAGGTCCCATTCCTCTCTTTCTTCGTTGCTAAGTTACGAAGCGAACTCTATCGGGAGGATGAGGCGTACATGTTTACACTACTACGCAGAGCATATACACATGAGTGTGTCACTCTTCGTATCAGTGTTCACTACTTCCATATGTGTGAACGTCTGTGTTTTATCACATACTTTGTTGAAGTAGCATATTATATATGTATTTAAGTTCTATGAACACCCATATACCTTGTTGAAGTAATATATATATTTAATTAAGTTTCTTTATTTCCATTTAAGTCATTTGAAAACCTACATACCTTGTTGAACAAGCTTATACATTTATTCAAGTTTCTATATATATACTCAAGTTATGTGAAAACCCACGTACCTTGTTAAACCAGCATGTCTGTTCATTCAAGTCACATGAGATGTTAAACCAACTTATATATCTATTCAAGTCATATGATAACCCACATACCTTATTGCAGTAACATACGTATCCTATATTGCAGTAAAACTTACATACCTTGTTAAACCAGCTTATATATTTATTCAAGTTATATGAAAACGTCTTGGCGTGCTTGTGCTTCGGACACCACAGATGGACTAGTACTTCCTGGCGCCGGACCTTTTGAAATAACTGGTGCGTGGATAGAAGTATTTGGGGGTTTAGGGTGTAGGGTTTTGATCAATATGTGACCATAGGCGGGTGGTCTCGAGAAAACCCTAGGGGCAGTAGTGGTGTCTGGCGTAGTCTACCAAACCCTAGCGACCTCACACACGCACTAGCTAGAGTATACGACCCCACACCTCTCTCTATCACATCATCTATACACACGAGCGGGTGTAGGGAATACGGATTTAGTATACTGAGAACGTGATGGGTCTTGAGGGTATCACCTGCGCCCATACAGAGCTCAGTATGACTTCAGGTCATTCGGACTGTTTTAACAAGCAGAGCATCGTTCTATCTTTGTAGTACATACACGCACACCATGAGCACGTGACAAAAGCTAAGAACATATGTACATAGAATGGGTACATGCAGCATATAGCCCAGGTATATACAGTACGTAGTACAGTTATATACAGCACATAGCACAGGTATATACAGTATGTAGTACAGATATATACAGCATACAGAGTTGTATACATATATGAGTCAATACTTATGCGAACGAACCTTAAGTCTGATCGACAGCGACTGAGGCCATTCCGATGCGTAATGTATCAGATATTCACACACTTTAAGAGTCGTATCAGTGTAAGTATGTACTAGTGTATGCTGCAAATTATAAGGGTGTGTGTTATGCAAACAGACACATACATCTACACATATACATTTGGTGCGATTATTTAAGTGCTAATGTTCACATACTTACAGAGTCCGTCCTTAACAAACATGTGGGTGTACATATCGAACATGTTTAGGTTTTTTTTGTGTTGGCAGACATAAAAAACTATTTTAATGAGTTGCCTAGCTAATATTAGGGCCGTGGTGTTTACACACACACACACACACACACACAGTATCACACACACACAGTAATACACACACACACACACACACACACACACACACACACACACACAACACACACACACACATATATCTATATATATATATATATATATAAATATATATATACACATATAGGTTGTCACATATATTGACAATTCATTTCACGCCTGCATACTTGTGAGTCTATCCTGATGAGTTGCCTGGCAAGTATGGGGGCAGGGATGTCTATTAAACCGAGTGTAGTGATGTCTGTTAGCTCTGGGGTAATGACTGCGTGTGTGGCCTCCATTTGCTTCCAGGTGGCTTCCTAGAGGTGAACAAAGCAGATTAGGGCGACGATTGATGATTCATAAATAGATGTGCTTCGAAGGGTAGGTGCCGTATTTAAAGTGTAGGGTTTAGGGTTTAGGGTTTAGATTCCAAAGGATAGGTGCCGAATAAACGTACGTTCGGTTATACACGCTAAGAATAATCGTGGACTAAGCTCAAAGTAGACCCTATGACGCACACTAACACACTCGGCTACATGTATACTATACAATTCCTAACACGATAGGCTACAAATACACTATACAATCCCC